CCAAGGTTAGAACTCAGAGAAAAGAGAGACAAACCCTCTCTTTGAGAAAGAGCAATAAAAAAATAAAATAAAATAAAATAAGCATGGAGAGAACTAGGGGGCATATATCCCAGTAGACCAAGGCAGAGGAGATTCAAGAAAGAGAAATGGTGTGCACTGAGCTAGTCCTTTAGTGCTGAACAATAATTATTACATCCTTTTATAAGGACATTTAGGTAAAAATCTTATAAAGTTTACAGATGGGAGCTAGACAATATAGATACACAGTTTTGTTTTTATTAAGATGATTCTCAGTCAAGTCTGTTTCCAGTTTCAGATTTTGCCAACCCAAGTCTTCCTTTACCATGCTGTCAGAAAAGTGTTTTTTCCCTTACCAATTTTTTCTAACATATAGTTTAGCTTCAGTTCAGAGCCACTCTTGTAACACTAAGGTAGATTTCTTCAGGTGAGGTTTTCCAGACACAGAGATGGCAACTCAACCAACTAAAAGTTTTTCTAGGACAGAAATTAAGCCCGTATATTGAAGAGTCAACAAATATGTTTGGAAAGAATGACTGAGAATTTCTTACAGAAGTTAGGTCATCTAGAATCATAGCTTTTATCCATACCCTGGCAAATACGGGGCCTATGGTAAAGATCGCTAATTGATTTTGGCCATTTCCCAGCTGAGCCTGTACAAGCCCACAAACACCCCACAAGCTACAGCAACCGGTCAGAGCTGGCCCAGGTGACATTACATCATCTCAAGTGAACTGCACTAGAGAAAGCTCACTAGATTTGAGCTTTCGTGGCTCCCTGGTTATGTCGGCACGGTACACAGTCAGCAGAGCAGCTGTCTGCTAAGAGGACAATGGGCAGAAACAAAGGAATCAAAATGTGACTTGGCCCTTCTGCTTTATTTTCTATGACCTTCTTCTATTACAAATTGTGAAAAAGAAGTCTCTTAAGCTATTAATTTCACAGATGTATATAAATGCCATTTCAGATCAATTCGGAGAACTGAATTATAAATCATGGGGGTTCTAGATTTCTGTCACTGACCACTTCTGGCTGGACACCCTTTGTCAAACAGCTGTATGAAACTTGGGGTTTAGCCATATATTGCTTTTTTAGGAAGATAAGTCTGGGAACAGTCTGTTCCTCCCATGTTCCTGTTTAAAAATGCTTAGCTGGTTTCCCACTGCTTCTCTACATGTGACAAGATAAAATCCAAACTCCTTTGCATGGCACCATCACAATGAAAGGACCATTTCATTCCCCTTCTCCTGCCTCTGCTCAATATTCCATCACACCAAGTCTTTCTTTGCATAACGGTTGTATTAGCTTTCTACTGCTCCTTTCTATGACACTAAGTCGTAAACTTAGTGACTTCAACATACGAATGTATCATCTTTCAGTTATGTGGGTTAAAAGTTCAAAGGGGATCTTACCAGGCTAATCGGAGAACTGGCAGTGCTGTGTTCCTTCTGGATGCTCCAGAACAGCATCTGTTTCCCTGCCTTTGCCAGCTTCTAGAGGCTGCCTGCATTCTTGAGTCGTGGCCCCCTTCCATCTTCAAAGTCAGCAATGGCCAGTCAAAATCTATTTCACACGGCCTCACTCTGACACTGACTTCGGATTACCTCTTTTACCTACACAGACTCTCGTGATTACACTGGGCCCATGGAATGATCCAGATAATCTCTCCATTTCCAAATCTTCAACTTAATCACATCTGCAAGGTCGCAGAGTGGACATCTTTGGGGGGCCATTATTCTAACTACCATAGTAGTGTTCCTTCTGCCTGGACAGTTAGAAGACTTCTACCCAAATTCCTTAGGCAATCCTTAAGATTCTATGGAAATACCACTGTTTTCACGGGGCCCCCCTCTTCCTCCAACCCAAGGGGCTCATTTCTCTTGTCTCCTTAGTCCCATGTACAAATACCTCTCCTGCAGCACATACCTTGCACTGTAGTTTACTTGTCCTCAAGTATGTCTGTCTGACTAGATTCTGAGTCACTAAGTCTTATTCATTTCTGCAGCCCCTGGGGCCTAACTATTAAACACTGTGGGGAAGAAAAATGAAGGTGATTATTTTAATAAATGAAGACCTCAGGTAGATAGTAAATTCACAGGGCTTCTGTTTTGCGTATAGCTTAGAAACTAGTTCTGACAGCTCTTAACTGGGTCTTAACACATTATCAGTCAATCTCCTGAATTCTTTAACCATTCCAGGGAGGCATTCTAGCAAACTTAAACCATTCACATCTAAGGATATTTTCTTTTTCTTTTCTTTTCTTTAGGACATTTCTAACTTTAATGTAAGTTACCATGGATCAAAACATGTCAGTTTTAAGTGTCCTCCTGGACGTGGCTGGAAAAGGGCAAGCAGCACCCCAAGTGCTTGGTTAGCTGAGGGAAGTGATACTCTCTGAATGATTTCTGAATTCCCAAAGATGATGCCCTTCTAACACATCTGACTGTACTACATTGGAGGTTAAAAGCCACCTTGCCACAATATTTATTTGGTATTTCAGTACCTAGAAGTTTTTCATTTAAAAAAATAGAACAAAAAGTTCAAAATTAAACAAAATTTAAATAGTCTTAGCTACTCAACTATTCAAATTACAAGTCAAATGAGAGGTTGAATAAATTATGGCCATGTGAATGCTGGAAGATTTTTAAAGGCCAATAGTTTGCTGTGAATATCTCATGTCTCTGATACCACCATACAGTACAGAAATCTGAAGATACGGAAATAAGATGAAAAATTATGTGCCTAGCAGTTGAGTTGAAAGAACCCAACAGGCACCAAAAAAGAAGAAATGATCACCTATTTCCTAATTTGAATACAAAGTCTACTTTGCTATTTTTTCTTCATCAGCAAGAGTAAAAGCCCTCTTCGATCTAAATCCTGTCAGTTTGGGTCATTTTAGTTTAGGAAACTCCATTCTTTTGTGGAATTTCTGAAGCAATAATTGACGTTTAAACATGCCTTTTGTTCAATTTCACTGCTTTTCCTAATCTTGAAAAAAAAATGAGATATTTTAGATCCAAAAGGGGCCTACTGATCCGTATTATAGCTCACATTGACAAAGAGGGACTCTGAAGCCTTGCTGCTTCCTCTAGCTCAGGAAGAAGCAGAGGCTAAGGAGGAGACATCACTGCCTGCTGCCTGGGAACACAGCCTGAGAATGCAAGACTTGCTCTACGGATCAGCTGTGCATGGATGCCGTGTGTCAAGGCCGACTTTCAACTTGGCGCATTTTTACAGAGAAGGGAAGTGCAATTTCTCAGTGCTGGTGTTGGTGTTTTTTCCTAACTTCTAAACTGTTCCGTGACTGTATTTAGAAGTACATTTAGGGGCCATGAACACCACCACCAACCAACTGGGCTAACATGGAGGACTTCAGGCCTAATTTGTAGAAATACTAATCATGTTGTTGCTAATTGCTGTTGTCCAGACATTTCAAGCCTTTCCTGTTCTTAAATCTTGGTTACGTACAGGCTAAGCATAAAGCTCACTGGGGAAATCACACAGAGGATCTGGAATTAGAGCTGGAGCCATCTCAGACCAGAACAAACATTAAAGGCTATTCACAAACCAACGAAAAGTCAATGCACCTCCAAAGTCTACTAAGGTCTGTCAAGAATGCAAACAAGTTTTGTAATAAGCTTAATAAATAAAACAACTGAACCTACTAAGTGGTACTTACGGGGAACAGACTAAATAAAGGATATAGCCTGAGAGGTAGAACAGGTTCCCACTAGAACAAGGATTGTTTACCTTGCTCGGATTAAATCCAATAATCCAAAGAGTGGTATTGGTACTAAATGTTTCAGGAAGAACCAACAGTAGAAATCCCAGTGGGATCTACAAACTTCATTTTTCTGTAAAAGTGAAATGCCAGTAAAACCACACCATTCCAACATTCTCCCGTCTCAATATAAATCTTCTTCCATCTTACATTTCATCCTGAACAATTTTACTATGTTCACCATAGTAGCAACTGGAAAAAAAAAAAAAAGTGTTTCATCTAGAAGCAAAAGTGAGAAACCTTTACAAAAAACACTGAGCTTCTCCAAAGCTAGATTTCCAAGTTCTTAATATAAGCTAAGCTAACACAAATAAAGACTGCTACAGTAACCAAACTTTTCTGCTAACAAGTATCCTTAAAAACAATGACAATTCAACCATAATAGATTATTTTCTACAGTGAGCAGATAATGAACCTACATACTTCTTCTTTTTGATTTTTGCTAGCTTGGTTCATAAATCTTGCAACTTGCAAGCTCAAGGGTTTTTTTTGGAGGCAAAGACAAGTTAATAGTCGAGCTTAAAATAAATCGGCTTTGCAATTACTTTTTTTTTTAAGCCGATGAAGCACGTTTCCCCATTCCACGCCATGAAGCAATGCGATGTTAACTTGCTATGGAGTCAAATGCGGCAAACTCCGAGAGCTCCAGTCGCGAGGCGGCGGCTTGCTGCACCCACAGCTTCCCGCACTCCTGCAGCATCAGGACGCAGCACTCTCCAGGCTGGGCGCAGAACCCGAACTCGGGGCCTCCGGGCCACGGGACAGTATACCCTACCCCCGTCCCGGGGAAAGTGAGGCACAGTGACCCGAGCGATCTGGAGTCCGGCGAAGGCCCCCGCCGCTGCTTGGCTTCCCTTGCCCCCCGGAGGTCTGGGAGGCTCCTCGGCAGCACACGGTAGACACCGCGCTCTTCGCCGTAGGAAGATTATGGCACTAGCCTGAGAGGTGGCTGTCCCCAGCCCACCGCCCCCCGGGTCCCACCCCGCACGGATCTCGAGGCATCCTGCTACCCGCTCGCTAGGAGCTCGTTACTGGGACCTCGCGGCGCCTCCTGCACGACGCCTCCTCCCTGGGCTCCGCCAGCCTAAGCGCCCGAAAGTTCCTCGGCCCCAGCGGCCACAGCGACCTGGCCGCCCACCCAGTGCCGGGCTCCCTGCCACCCTCGCCCCCCCGCCCCTGCTGTCCGGGCGCCCCTGCTAACCTGACGCCGCCGCGCCACTCAGGTGGCCGCCTTGCGCCCCTCGCCATGGCCAGTCTGCTAGCTGTCGCCGCTCCACGCCCCGCGCCCGATGCCCGGGAGCGCCTACTGCGGGCAAGCTGTGTCCGCCCGCGCCGGGCAGCGATGCGGGCTGCGCCGCGGGCAGCCGGGAGTGCGGAGCTCCGCACCTACAGCAGCCGGAGCCGGCCGGTGCGGAGCATGCCCAGTGCGACTCGCAGGGCGGCGCGGAGGCGCGTGGCCGCGCGGGGTGTCGCCGCCGGGTTTTCGCAGCAGCCACCGGCGTGGGGCGGAGCGGGCGGCGCCGGGCGGACCTGGGAGAGCAGCGGGGTCCGCCCGCAGAGAGGTTGGGGGGGCGGGCTGAGCGTGCCCCGGAGTCCCTCCTTCCGCCGGCGCTGGCTCTGGGGCCGGCCTGGGTCTCCCGGGCTCTGTTCCAGCACGCCTAGGGTGTTCCTGGGGCTGAGGGCTCGTTTCCGACGCTGCGGTGCTTGGGCAGCCTGACTGATAATTGTCGGGGAGCACGGCGCTCCCCGGGCCTCCAGCGCTACTCTCCTGAGCGTCGCGTCGCAGTGTCGTTCTGGGTTACCCTCCTGGGACACGGGAGAGAGCCGAGTGTCCAGCCTCCGGACGTGCCTACTCCAAGGCCACCTGGGAGGCCACCTGGCCATCAAAAGCTTCTCAGGCTTTTCCGGGTGACTGTGCTGTCACTTCCAAAGACCACACAGAAGCGGCTGCGAGAAAGTACAGCAGGATGTTCCCCGGTGGCTTCAGAGTGGTGGGGTTCCACGGGATTTTTAATTTTCTTCTTTTTTGATTATTTACAGTTTCTAAGTATTGTGTAACGGACAGTCCAGTGCTTTTTAAGTAAGATATGTTATTCTAAAATTATTTTTTAAAAACGCCCGCAGAACTTCGGCAGCACCATTCTGCGCTGTAAGCACACCACCACTCCCCTTTTTTTTTAGACTTGAGGGAGACAATTTCTGGGGCTGGGACCAGACTCCTCCTCCCCGGCTCTTTTCGGGCCGCCCCTTGGCCACGCCCCCAATCTGACCCTTTCGCTCCAGTACCGCCCCCTTCTCTTGGTTGCTGAGAAAACGCGGAAGGGTGGACTTTCGACACTGACGTTCCCGGTGGCTCCTGTGCCAGACTGGGCATGTTCCGCCGCCGGGTCAGGGACCGCTGACAAGGAGAGAGAAGCGTCTTTAAGCAACTCCCAGTCTCTCTCCTCGTTCTCTCCGTCCTTGGCAAACTGAACTAAGTAGCACCTCCGACCTCCTGCCCCGAGCTCGGACCTGCAAAGTGGGTCAGGATTCGACTGAGCATGCTCCGGACAGTGCCAGAATGCCGCACGCGGCATTCTGCCCAAGGTTGATGGAGCTGCGCTCGCTCGTCACGACATCGAAGGTCTGGAGTCCGGTGGAAGCAGGGCCCTGGAGGTGCGCTACAGCTTCGACACGTGGACAGGTCACCCCTAGCCAGGCCCGCGTTGGGGGGGCTGGGTGCGTGGGATCTGGCTTATAGGTGATTCAAAGCCTGATTTTTCCCACAAAGATTAAAATTAGAAATACTAGTTTAACATTGGCTTTATGGCATCTTCAATAATTACGAACTTTTCAGCCCCTCTTTCTTTAAAGAAACCGACATCTTTTTTAAAGTATTCTTTACATTCGCACAAAACCCTGAATTTTCACTTATTCACATTTGCACTAGAACCCTAAATTTTCTCTTATCAAAGATTAAATGTCGTCCCTTTCAAATAATACCACAGTATCATACTACTTTTTTTTTTCGCTTCCAACAATTCTGTGTTCACTGCGACTTCTGTCCACCTTTTTTCAAATTTTCAGAGAATGAGCAGAATACTCTCCTGCTGGCTTAAATAGGCTTGAGGAGGGTGTGGGAAACTTGCTTTTAATGCTGTCACAGAAGAGAAGGCTGAAGTGGAGAAAGATTACAGGGAAGAGATTTTACAGGTTTGAGGTGAATAAACTCAAAAGCCCAGAGAGAGTCTTGCAGTGAGCCCAGGCAGGTTAGTGGGATAGGTGTCTGTTTTCTATCTGAGGAGGAAAATGGGCAGGTGGGCCAGCTGCTCAGTGAGGTTTGGTGTGACAGTGGGAGACACCCTCAGTAAGGGTTGGCTTCATTTCAACCTCTCCCTCTCATCCCTCCCTCCTTCAGCTTCAGCATGATTGGAGACACCGTTGTTAGTGGACGGTCACTCCTGGGAAGAGCTTAAGTGTTTCCCCCTAGACTCTAATTTGTGCTGGGTCACCTTCATCCCTCAGCTTTGAGACGCCCCAAGTTCCTGAGCAGTGCTCTTGTTCTGTGTTGGCATCTACACCACAAAGAGTCTGGCTGGGGAAGAAGTGGGTAAGGCGTCTCTCTAATAGTTCATACTGCCATTCCTTCCCCACTGAAGCTTCCTGGTCCCCAGTCTTCCGTGACATAAACCTTTCTTAGTTTTCCTATCTTTCTGATGGTTCCTCCAGGTTCTTTTCCTTTTCACCACCCCATCTTAATTTAAGTGTTCGGTCCTGTGGCCTCTTCCCTTCTGCTTTCCCTTCTGCTCTTCTAATTCAATGACTGACAGTACCAAGGTGGTGTTCAGTTGGTGTGTACACATAAGGTCATGCTAGCTGTTAATTGCCACAGTTCTTTCTGGCCAATCAGGTACCTATTCTCTTTGGTCAGTGTCTATGCCTGACCACTGGTCTCTACTGGTTATTAATATTTTGAGTATCTTTGCCCCAAAGATACATTTGAGTATCTTTTTTTTTTTTTTTTTAAGATTTTATTTATTTATTTGACAGAGAGAGAGATCACAAGTAGATGGAGAGGCAGGCAGAGAGAGAGAGAGAGAGAGAGAGAGAGAGAGGGAAGCAGGCTCCCTGCTGAGCAGAGAGCCTGATGCGGGACTCGATCCCAGGACCCTGAGATCATGACCTGAGCCGAAGGCAGCGGCTTAACCCATTGAGCCACCCAGGCGCCCCAATACATTTGAGTATCTTTGCCCCAAACGTTATATTCTGTCCAGCTCTCCCTGGGTTTGGACTCTTATATGTGGTCTACCAGTATCTTAATTGCTGTGACCCTCAGGAAACTTGAGCTCTGTATTCCCAAACACAACTCAAGAGCTATAGTCACTCTCCTGCTTATGTGTCCTAACTTGGTTCCTGGTACCCGCATCTTCTCAACTCTGCACACCACAAGTAAAGATGTTATCCTCGATTCATCCATCTGTCTTTCCTCTGTCATCCAGCTAGCCACTGGGTACTGCCCACCCTACATTTAGACATCTCTGCTTATGGACCCTCGGCCTGCACTGCCCTCTCAGGCCCATTATCCCTTCCAAATGAGTCCTCTCTCTCCCCATGTTTCCTCCAATCCAGTCTCCATGCCTCCTCAGACTTTTCTTTCTGAGCAAATTATATTTTAGTATATTTGCTAAGCCCTTAGTGTATGGATTCATAGTGCCTTCAGGATAAAGTCCAAGTTTGAAGCATGAACTGGCCCCTGTCTCCCTCTCCAGATTAATCTCCAGCCAGTGTCCCCTAATGGCCCATATCCTCGCCAGCCCGAACTACTTGCTATGCAAATTCATGCCTCCATGTTCCTTTAGTTCTTTTGTTTCTTCTTTCCGCTTGTTCACCCCTTGGCAACTGTTAAGCCTTTAATGTCCAGTTCAGGGTTGGTCCCCTGCGACCTCCTCAGATGACTTCCTTGTGAATACTTCACCTATATACCATATACTTTGTCTTCATTTTGACACCTAACCTTGGTTTATTTTTTTTCAACTCCTCCATTACATTGTAGGCCATGTGACAACAAGGGCTTGCCTCAGTCATCTTTGTGTCTTTGCTTTTCAGTTTTCAGTAACATTTTACTTAATAAATGAATGATCGACATTTGCACCCTACAATATTTAAAGTTCATTCATTTTTAAAATTCCTCTTGAGTATTGTAAATAGAATGCAAAGAAAAAATACCAGAACAAAGTCATATCACATACAACCTGCTGAATGGTTATGCTTTTTTTTTTTTAAGATTTTATTTATTCATTTGACAGAGAGAGAGATCACGAGTGGGTAGAGAGAGGAGGAAGCAGGCTCCCTGCTGAGCAGAGAGCCTGATGCGGGGCTCGATCCCAGGACCCCCGGATCATGACCCAAGCCGAAGGCAGAGGCTTCAACCCACTGAGCCACCCAGGCACCCCAGCTTTTTTGAGTAATATAAGCAAGATCTCGGACTTGACCTTAAACCCAGTAAATTTTCTTCAGTTTGAGAAGTCTGGGAAGTGTGTTGTGAGCCAGTCTGATGTCCTTGTATTATCAGTCTCTAACCCCACAAAGCTCAGCATTGTATTGCTAATGAATCCACAAATTCCATTGTTCTTTATCACTGTGTTTTTTTCCCCCATGGGGTTGTTATTATCCTCTAATTATATAGTTAGTCCTTAGAATAGATTTTATTTTTTTGTGTTAAAGGTATGGCACCTTTGGAAAGCAGATTAACCCTTTAGGAATGAACATACTCTTTAGAGTTCTTCCAGCTCCCCTTGTCTGCTCAGAGCACCTAGAGTTAACTGTGGAAGGAACTTAATTAACCACCTGCTTTGGAAGCTACACCTCCCCACCCCCACGGTTGGGAATGTCTTCCAGACCTGGATAGAATGGTCTCGGGGGCAGCGATTTTAACAAGCCCTCAAGAGGATTTCACACACTGTATCTGAGAAACATAGCTCTACATCATATAGATAAAAGGGAAAATAGTAACTGTTAGTCTAGAACTTCAAGTAGCCCCAGTAATTCTTTTTCATTGGCAGAGAGATATATGTGAGGGGAAAGGGTATCATCGGTCCATTTCAAAAAGTGTCATCCATGTTTGTGCTTATTAAATAGCCTTGACTTATTTTAGAATCTGGAGAATATGGAAGAGCCCATAGTTAGGAAGCTTCTTGCTCTGTGTTGAAACACGGGGATTTTTATTCCGTAACCATGTAGACCCCATGTTATTCACCAGCACCTGTCTTCAATTCAGCCTCCTTTGACAAAGGGTGGGTGGGACAGT